TCCAGCAGGATATCCCAATGGTCAACCACCCCAGCAGTTTGGATCTGGCAAATGGTAAGGACCCCCATACTCCTTTGGCAGAAGGGGGGGGGGGGGCATTGGAGAGTCTGGAGCAATGGTTACACCCAAGACAGTGCAACAGATGATCACGAAACCCTACTTTGAAAAGCAGACCATACTAATTTATTCAATCGAGGCATGGCATAGTATAAGCAGCTATCCCCTTCTACTTTAGCCATGCCATCCATGGTTGGTACGGTCCGGGAAGAGCCTATTTATGAAGCAAATATCAGGAGGTTATTGACCATCCAGTGATCTTGTAAAATATCCTATCTCCAGGGTAAGCATGCAAAGCCATGGAAAGAGTGCATGAATCAACATGGCATACAGAGCAGATTTGTTTGTGTATGTAAAGAATACCTGGTCAAGCACCATTCACCACAGAGCAAGGAATGGGACAAGGAGGAATAAGCCAACTGGATTAAACGATGAACCCAATTGGTAAGGGCAAAGGGAGAAAGATCCCAAAAGGAAGAAAGTTACCATGGGATAAAGAGATGGAAACAGGAGTCTCTGAAAGGAGCTGTGCAGACAATATAACAAAGTAGGACATGTACTGAACATAGAGGGATATCTGTATCAGGACAAGTGCAGAGATGAGAAATAGAGGGAACAGAAATGGGTGAAAATGAGGAGTTACCCTCATGAGCTACCAAGGTCTTGGGAAGGAAGGAATGATCTGGATAAAGGAGAAGATAGTTTCAGTGATACAGTGTTCGTGTGATGTCGATAGTAAATAGATCTGCCCGATGCCTCCTGCAGGCAAGAGGAAAAGGAAACATGCCTTATTGGATAGGTGAAACAAAGAGCATGATGCAATGGGCTCAAACAGAAATAAAGTAAAGGAATGTAGTACCATGTTAATGTCCCAAACCAGAAATACCAAATGCCTAGGCAGCCAATGGATCCAGAAAGAACGGATAAAAATGGTAAGGACAGAGGAAAGAAAAACCCTGCAGTTAATGGAAAAACAGAAAGTGTGGGATAAGGTTACCCAATAATTCGTTATCAAGGAGACCAAAGACCATTTTCAAAAAGTCACGTAAGAAACTTGGAGAGACCAGCAACAGTAGGACGAGAAGCTGGGATACCCCCAATCCAGAGGCTAAGGTGTGAAAAATATTCCATTTCGACTGCTTCACAGCCAGGTATGAAGGACAAATGGAATGAGGTAAATGAGATGCCACCAATCATGAGAAACCAGATCTCCTCACTAGGGACCAGACAAAAGCCAGGCATGAAGAAGGAGGACATGATGTGCGGAATGCAGAACCAGCAACTGGGGTTGAGGAGAGAAGGACGAGGGATGGGATAGAACAACTGGAGCTGGAGTAATGATGGAAACCACAGTTGAGTGGACCAGTAAGTAGCAATCAGAAGGACTTTGTACAGGGTGGTATGGATGAGGGAGACTTCTCAATGAAGTAATTGGATAGGAGGATAAACATAAAGGAACTTGTTTAACCAATCCTGGCTGAAGGCATCTCTAGCCAAAGTCCAAGGATGGGAAACCAGGGACCAAAATAAAGGTAACTTATGATTGAGGGTGGTGGTAAATGCATTGATATGAGAAATACCTCACTGAATGCAAAGCCAGCAAAAAACAAGAAGATAAAAGGATTACTCCATCAGGTAATCCAGGTCAGATCGGGAAAGACGATCTGCCACAATGTTGAAAGCACCAGGTACATGACATGCCATCAAACAAATGTGATGATTGTGGGCCCAAAAGAGAAGATCCAATGTTAGAAAACAGAGGGATCTCAATCAGGTGCCACCTTGGTGATTGATATGAGCCATCACTGTTGAATTGTCAGAATGAATCATGACCAGATGATCTCTGGAGATGGGAAGAAAGTGATCCAAAGTCCATCAAACAACAAGGAGTTTGAGGGCATTGATATGAAGAGAAAGTTCCCCTACAGACCAACGATCTGAAGCCTCCTGGTGATCAACCCATGCACTCCAGCCCTGGAGGGATGCATCTGTGACCGAGGAGGAGGAAGTAGGGTACCCATCAATGTCTGGGGCTTGTCTAACCACCATCAGAGATTGTCCACATTGTAGGAAGGAAGGGTTATAGGAGCATATGAGCCTGCCCAAAGGGTATGAGAGGAGTCATAGAAGACCACATCCCCAAAAGCGATAAAACCTCGTGAGCAGAAAGTGAAGGAGCAGAGAGGGCATTCTGAACAAACAAGTGAAAAAGTTTCGACAAAACACGGGTAAATTAAACGCCTTCGAAAATTAAGTGAAAAAAAATTCTTGGATAAGTAATGAACAATAAGAAAGATGTCTGAACTCAAGCACTGCCAAACGAGAAGTGATGAATTGGTAGTGGCGCAATGATGGAGTCATGTATCACGTGATAGTAGAGGCATAGAGAAGTGCAGAAGGCTTGTGCCATGCATTATACAAAGTTTGCTTATAGAGGACAGCACAAAACAAGAAAAGCTAATCTTGTGAGTGGAGGGAAGTAACATATCAGAAATAATATTAACCTTCTTGATGAATAGCGATAGTAAATGTTAAAAATGTCTCCATCACTTTATTTACAGTAGATTGATTAGTGTAAGATTACTACATATTTTAAAAAGAAACATAATGGTGATCACATAGTAGTGATGGTTAGATTCATTCTCCAAGTGTTACGCTTGTGTTAAAAAAATTCCACAGAAATAAAAATTTAACCAGAATAAGTCATAAAAATAACACCCTGGCACTTTTTTTTTCTTTTTGCTTGTACATATGTGACACATGGGAATGGTTGCTGTGACCTCATTTATCAACAACTTACAACATCTGTATAATCACACATGGAAAAATTAAAAAAATATAGAATGCTTAAGCTTTTTTCTTGTTTAACAAAAAGCTGCAGAACATCTCCCTGAGTTGTAGCCACTGTGGAAAATAAACTCCATGTTTTAGCATTATAAGCCCACAAACTTAATACTGAGCTACTGGGAAGCCACATATTTAAGTAGGAAGTCTCAGAGAATTACAATTCTCAGACATAGAAGTATATGAATGCAAAATAACAGTTGCAAATATATAAATCTCCCAAAGGCAAAATACTAATTATTGTATGCAAAACAACAAACGAAAAACCTCTACAGTACTAATACATGCTGAGTTCACATAATATATATAAAGGCAACCATACTACACTAGTTTGTAAACTGGTTTTAAAAAATCACAATGATCGCTAAACCTTTCTTCTGCCATTTTGCAGCAATCAGCAAGCAATTGTTAAAACCAAAAACAGTTTTAGTTCAACTTGGTGGAACCAATAAAACTTTAAAACCATTTAAAATTCTTTTTAGTCACTGAATTGATAGAAACAATGGTACATAATAAACTTGGTGTTGCGAACTACATAATGAAAAACTGATACATAGATATCTTTGCTCAATTCAAACAGACAGCACGTCAAAAAAATGATAAATGGGGATTGTAAACAGCCTATATGCTGCCCTGGCAACATGTTGCTTTATGTCATATCATAGGGTGTGGCTACGAAAGACATATCAATTACATCATAACATGATGTACAATGGGTAGAGGTTACTACTGATACATACCTGTCAATCACAGTATTTCCAGTTTACAACCAATGTGATTAAAGAATCTCACCTATTATTTCATAGGTAAGCTAATACTTCATTATTAACATTGGTTATTGACAATTTTATTTATCCATATAATATGAATACACATGTATGAGTTTGAAATGGATGAACGTTAATGACACTACATTTTATCTTGCCTTGACACGAGTGTCACCCAGTATCAGGTTACCAGGTAAAGTGATAAATCACTGACAGTTTGTCAACATTGTTCCAATCAGAAGGTAGCATGGAGTGAAACGTCAATTTACAAATACAATTTTCAATTGTTTTTCAATAATTATGAATTAAATAATTGAACTGGCAATGTAAATCTACTAATTTATGACTGTGGAATCCAATGTGTGTGAATTTTTTTATTTTCATTATTTAAATATCACTGAAACCCCCTAATAATTTAGCTTAATGAGTAAATATACTAATTTTTTACTGTAGAATCCAATGGTTTTTTAATATTTTTTTTCATTGTTTAAAAAAATCACCAAAATCCTCTAAGAGAAATTCATAGAACAATATATTTTTTATTTTTGCCTAATCTTACTTTTCTAATGATCAAGATAGTTTAGAATCTCACAAGAATTAATCGTCCATGCATATTGTCAAAGAGAAAACAACACTGTCAGTAATGTAAATTGACACTCTCAGTAATAATTATTGGCAACATCATCAGAATAGATAGATAGCCTTGCCCAAAGCTGGCATTCCCAGTAATATAAATAGCTTATACTGATAATGCTACTTTAAATGCTTAAAAGTCGTGTCTACTAACTATTGCTAAAATCTTCATTTGCACTCTATGTTGACTCTGGTGAAGAACTTTAGTTTATGATGAAGACCAAACGGGAGTTATTTTCTCAGCAAAATCATGCTGCTAATAATATACAAAGAACAGTTAGTCTAAACAACTGAATACAAATTCAATTTAAAGATAAAATTATATTTGCATAAGAAAGCTCTACAATAACTTCATTAAGATCTAAAAATTAAAAGGGTACATGCCAAAAGTCAACTATGGTAAGACCTATGCTACGACCAGGCCGACCAAAAAAATCATTAAATTTTTGTCGTATCAAATTATAATTAATACAAATTTTACGTCACATTAAATGATCATCTACCAAGTACCAAATAACATTAAAGAACGATGACAACAGTAATACTAACAATACTGTAACTGTAACAGTGTATGTGTAAACAGTATCACTGTCACTGGATGTGAAGAATGAAACATGAAAACAGTATAATTATTTGATTATTTTAAAGTATCTATGTACTCGATCCTAAATAATTCGTTTGCCAAAGCTTGAAACTTACTACTGTGACGAAAATTTTGAAAACGGTAAAGCAAAAATTTTCCACTGTATCGAAGAGATAAAACTCTTACACGTGATAACTCTACTATGAAAGCCATTTGACGAATATCGCGCCACCTGAAATTTGATCAAAGATCAGTAATTGGAATATATACATCCAATCCGAATCGTGGTAGTTATTTAGGTTAAAGTAACTTTCAGGCCCACTTCATGATTTAGGACTTTATGGCACGTGAATATTAAGGTTTTTGGACTAACAAGGGTGTAGTTTCTAATTAGAAGCGTAAACGTTTGATACTATAGTAACTTGGAGGAAAGTCTCGAGACATCAGGAGAAGCTGCGTTTGTGGAGATCAGGAAATAAGACGACGGAAGGGGAGGTTCGAGCATCTTGTTGAATACTGCTACTTCTTGAGATTGTTGACTAATATATGCACAATCACACATGCACACATAAACAACAAACATTACACGTTTTAATAGAAGAAAATAATGTATACAAAATATACATAGAGAAAGAAATAAGTATATTGTACAAAGGTTAAGAACACAATTTAATAAAATGAATATATCAAACAAGGAGAAGTGAAAGGAACTGAAGTTATTAAATTCATAAAGTATGAAATGCTAGAGTATGCGATATCGTCGTGTTATATAACATCCTTTTTACCCTTATATTTGCCAACAATTTACTAATTGCATCAACAAAATTATTTACATTTTTTGTAACGTCTAGAATGTTTTTATAGGTGTTACCGAAGTTTTACATTGCTTTCTTTCTCAATAGCAATTTATAATGACGTCATTGGAACTTATGATTTATCTCAGGTTAATTAATAGAAGATAGCCCTGCTCATTATACAAACATCAATTAAATGATAAAGCCCTAAGTAAATTTACTTGTGTAATGTATAACTTTAACTTATTACTGTTTTTTTTTTTTTCAGTGCTGACTGAGGTATAGAAACCATTATTTAATGAAGACGACAAACGACGTTAGAAAAATGTTTAATTACTTGTAACCGACGTTTCAACTTACGCCTTTATCAAGGGTCTATGAACGTCACAGGTTACCAAGCTGTTTTAAATGACAGTAACCGAAAACGAAATACAGCTACCACAATATAACGGAAAAGTGTACCTGATATGTGAAACGAGTATACTCGATCAGTTTTAAGTCGTTGATCAAAAAAAATAAAGAAATGATATTAATAACATAAGAATAGATAAAATTATAATGATGAAAATTAATAATGAAAGAATTAAGTGACATATTAATTAATTAATGGTACCTAAGATTCCCTAGGCCTTGGTTTTCGTTTCTGTATCTCAATTCCACTCATCCACGATTAGGCAACAGATATCGGCGTCTTCTTGGTACAAGTACGGATTGACAATTATATCATAAGTAGTTATTACCGCTAGTGTCAAGTTAATGAAATTGTCGAAAGCCTCAAATCGCTCAACCCATCTTGTCTTGCACAGTCCCTTAAGTTTATGCTGTCGCGAATGCTGAACTTCATCTCTTGAGTGTTAATGACCTTCTCCAGGAAACCTTGACATTTGTGTGATGTATTAAAAAACAAATAGGTATCATTGACGGCTGTTATGCAGTTCCAAATCTGCGGCAGTTTTGATGCAGACGCAATGACTAATTTGAGCTTATGGCTGTTGCATGGTGTATAAAGAGCCCTTGGAACATCTCTGCGAAAGATACCTTGTACTCCTTGATTATCGGAGGCCATTGTGGAGGTGGTGTCATATGATTGTCCTCGAACATTAGAGGGATGCAATCCACATTCTATCCGTTTTGAGCTAATTACCTTTACAAGATGGGCTGCTGTGCCCCGTTCCGTATAAAAGAAAGCTAACAGGCCGTCTTGAATGTTAGAGACGTCGCCTTCAATGTACTTGAGGTATCTGACACATAATGACAAGATCTGTTTGTTTGCAATATCATCTTTGAGTTCATCAACAATGATACTAAAGAAAAGACAATGTTCATCACAAATGTTTGATGATATTGCCTCCCAAATAACGTCACCCAGCACCTCCAAGATGTCATTCTGAGTGGTCTTCAAGATGTATGTTGCATTTTTGGGGCATGACTGTGTGAAGGTCCTTAGTGACTTAGAGCTTTATTCAACAAAAGTGTGAACAGCAAAAATAAAAAGGTAAACTGATAATGTTAAAAAAGCAAAGTAATGTTTTTGTTTTGTTTTTACAAAATAACACATAATTGAATATCTGTAATATACTTCATATATAATTTGAATAGCGTATTGAATTAAAAAAGAAAGAAAGAAAAATTTGAATAAGTGCTTCAACAAGAAACAAAGATTTGAATACAACAGGACCTTATCCATCTTTGCACGAAATTCGATCAGTTCTTAAAAATTTCCTTTTTTGTTGTCAGGATCTGCTGTAGAATCATCCCTGTGTCCACGTAACGCTAATCCTTGACGGCCCAGAAAGATAATGCCTTCTATGATACTTCCTAGTGCAGCCTTATTCCTTTCATATTGATTTTGTCGCTGTCTTTCTAATCGGATGTCCACGCTATCTGCAGGATTTTCTTCTACGTGCTTTCTGTCACAGTATGCCGACACTGCCAGCTTATGGAATGTATTTTCTTCATGGTTTGGCAGCACCCCATCTTTGCCTAAAGCTTTTCGTAAGTCTATAAATGGTCTTTCAACAAGAACGCCCTTCTATTAATAGGTACAACGCCTGGCCCCTTTAACATTTCATTATTGTTACTAATTTTTATCATTATAATTTTATCTACTTTTATGTTATTGTTATCATTTACTCTCTTTTATTATCAACGATTCAAAGCTGTTCGACTATACACGTTTCACATATCACGTACACTTTTCCGTTTTATTGTTGTAGCTTTACTTCGTTTTCTGTTACTGCCAAACCTTTGAAGAGTGAAGACGTTTCCTTTTGTTCTCGCCGATCACACAAAGTCGCGCCACATCTGACCAGCGCCACCGACAATGGGCTGGCGCAAAAAGTCGTCAAGAATGGTCAGTTCTAGCCCCGATCCAGAACTACCAAACACTACCTCACCAGAGTGGGCCAGCAACAAGTCTCTGGCAACCCCGCCCTGGAGAAGCATATGCATCAACACCAAGCTGCTAACAAACGCGGAACAACTTGTTCTGCTGCAAAACTGCATGGCTACCACCCTAACTGCTTCAACCTCCAACACGTCATCGCGAGATTCCTCATCTTCAAGATCCTCACCATCCAAGCCCTCCATGCTTCGTTCACCAGTAAAAACTACTTTAAATCAGGAACCCACACAAGGTGAAGATAATAAGACTAATAGCCAGCAACAAGCCTCCACGTCCCTACAGAAACCTCGCTATCTACAAAGACACCAATCCCACCAGCAATTATAGCGGAAGGTATTCCACCCTCATACCGTCAACCACAAATAGCCGCAAAGTTACAACGAATATTCCCGTCACTAGAATTGTCAGACGTGAGACGATTACCCAAAGGTGGAATCTTCATCAAGACTACCCACCCACGGCACTAAGCGACGCTCCTGAAACCCTGGCCAATCCCCAGCTTCCAGTGGGCAACCATCACAACACACGTCCCAGGTGAAGTCAGGAACAACAACGCCTCCCAAATTGTAATCTTTGGAGTTTTTCTTGATATCCAGAGCCAAGAAATAACAGAGAAACTCTGCCTGCAAAACACCGTACTCTGAAAGCTGAAAGAATCAAGTCAGCCAGAACGAGTCAAAAAACCTCGTTAGTATGAATCACTATTGAATCGGACAAAATAGCCCAAGACACACCTTCACTCGTCCAGACAATTCCCATAGACGCCCTGATCGCCTTCGTTACCGACCTGATCAGAAGAATCTGGAATGGCGAAGTCAGATCCCCAAATTAACTGCTGTACGACGCCTGCGAAGCAGGTATCTACTATCTCGACAACCGAGATCACAACCCTGATTCCATGGATTTACTTATGGACCGTCGCACTAGGAGACTTCGATCTTTGACCAGGTAAATGCTAAACTTCCTTCAAATAAACATTCAAGGCGGCTTACACACAAAAAATATGAATTGTACAACCTCACACAAACACTTAACATAGTTATTAATGAGACTTTGTTAAACCCACGAAACAAATTCACTCTCCCAATATTTAAATCCAAATCCATTCCTAAATCGAACAATATCAGAGGCCTAATCCTCCTATACAAAAAATACCTAAAAACCACTTTCCCCACACAAGATTTTTCAACCACCAATGAACAGATCATATGCACATCCATCCATCTAATTTTCATAAAATAACTTTACTTGCAGCATACGTTTTGCTGTCCAAAATCCTTGACACAAATCTCCTACATCAAACCTTACATAATACCCCCACACACAATAAACTCCAAGCACACAGACTTTCATTGCAACCAAAACAATAACCTAACATTACTTAATACAACACCCCCACACACACCGCTCACACAGGATGGCAAGACGTTCTCGACCTCGCCATAGTTTCTAATAACCTCCTCCCATTTGCACACAACTTCTGCATACACTCCAACATAAGCAGTGATCATGATCCGATATCTTTCAATCTAAATATTAATAACACACAACTACGCACATACAATTTCACAAAAACCGACTGGACTAAATTTAATCAAGACTTAGAAAACACTCTCCCAACGTTACCCTCTAAAGCTATCAATTATAAGAAAATCGAAACATATATCAACAAAATCACAGAAGCAATCAACAAATCGCTACTCAATACCATACCCTTAACAACATAAAAACTAGACATTAACCACTGGAACCTCACATCAACCATCCACTCTCATATACTCGAAAGAAGACGACTATTCATTCGAACACGCAACCCAATCTACAAAACACTCACTAACAGGCAAGGTCTCATAATAAAAAATTTCATCAAAGAACAACAACAAGACAACTGGCAAAGCTTTTGTACATCAATAGACACCAATCGAACCAACCCAGCGCTATTCTGGAAGGCCCGGCATGGCCAGGTGGTTAGGATGCTCGACTCGCAATCTGAGGGTCGCGGGTTCGAATCCCCGTCACATCAAACATGCTCGCCCTTTCAGCCGTGGGGGCGTTATAATGTGACGGTCAATCCCACTATTCGTTGGTAAAAGAGTAGCCCAAGAGTTGGTGGTGGGTGGTGATGACTAGCTGCCTTCCCTCTAGTCTTACACTGCTAAATTAGGGATGGCTAGCGCA